GGTGTTTTAGGCCTTTCCCACACTCGTGCGATATTGTTTCTAATCGCTCCAACAGACACAGCATGTCATGATTTCAGCTCCCTGCCTCCTGCAAGTGCTCTTGGCCACGCCCACTTCTCCGCTCTGCTGTTTAACTGCAGCAGGAAGTTTATCCTGCAGCAGTAAGGGCTGCACAAAGCTGCAGGAGGTGCTAAATAATTCAAAATTTATTTTAAATAAAAAACTTATGCTGATCATGCGGCTCATCCATCAATCAGCCAGTTGTGTGTCATGTCCACTCTTATTTTGAAAAACCGCAATAGAGTGAATCTGCGATAAATGAAACGTAAAGTAGCAAAGGACTACTGTAATCCGGTGCACCTTATATATTAATTCTGGTTTTGCTTACTGATCTCGAACCAATTTTACTTGGCACACGGCACTCACACATCTGTAAAAAATTAACTTGTTTCGCTTAATGCGCCTTGAAGTCTGAAAAATATAAGAAGAAATGAGCACAATTAGGAAATTAACTAAAAAAGCTGAATGTAGCAAAAAAAAAAAAAAAGCATGAAAAGTAGCAGAAAAGGCAGAAAGCTTAAACTACTAGAAGGAAGTGGAAAGAGCTGAAATGAGCTACAAATGTGCAATTATTTAAAAAAGCTAAAATTAGCATAAAACAGCTAAATAATAGCTGAAATAGCAGAAAATGCTGAAAGAAGCATAAAAAGCTGAAGTTAGCAGAAAGAAGTTGGTTAGGCTGAAAGTAGCAGAAATTACTGCAGAAAACTTCAATTTCTCTTAAAACAGCTAAAGATTAGCCAAGAAACACGCTGCAGTGTGGCTGAAAAGGTAGAACAAGCTTAAATTAGCAGAAGAAAGCAGAAAGAACACGTTTGCCCAAAAGGAGAAGTGAGCACAAAAAAGGGGGAATTATCTGAAAATAAAAAGAGCATAAATCAGCTGAAAAGTAGCTAAAAAAAAAGGCAGAAAAAAGCTAAAGTCACCAGAAAAATGGATCAGATCAGAGAGAATGCTTCATAAACAATCACACAATAATCCAGGAGAGGGAAAGAAATCCTCCTTTTTTTGTCCCATCCTCATTTTCTGTAAACACTTCAGATGAAATCGCCCAAATATGAGCTTTATTTTGATACAAGAATAATTTAGCTGCTTGTCATTGCTGAGAAACGCTACATTTTATTTGGGCATGTGCCTTTCGAGCAGGGACTTTAAGAAAACCTCATGTTAACGTGGGGACGTGCTTTTCAGGCCTACAAACTGCTCATTTTGTGTTCTCTGAGTCGGGTCCTTATATATCCCTGTCCACTCAGCGATGTCCACCTCAGGACACGTCTGTCCCCGTCTCGAGCCATTGTATATCCCAGAGGTCTCTGCCCATCGTTTCCAGTAAGGCCTGGATCGCTGCGCTCCATCCTGACACTGATGCTCTGTGATTATGGCTGTCCAGTCTATAAATAACACCAGCATGGGCTCGGCTCAGAGACCAGCTAAAGCCACAAACACTTCCTGGTCTTGGCAACACTCGGCCGTGTCTCTCCTCTGCTGCGGTCCAACTGTTCGGCTGCTGTGGAGGTTTTTTAATGTATTTTTTTACCTCGGCTACGAGGAGCTGTTGAAGTGAGCGAGTGCTTACTGGACAAATCCAAAGCGGTCAATGACTTTGTACAGGTGGAAGTTGGTGTCCTCCCAGGGCTCAACGGTGGCCTCTTTCCCCTGGAAGTAAGAAGAAAAGAAAACATCGGTTTCGGTGGTTTTACATTTATGAAGTGAAAACATCATGAAGGATTCACCACGCAGCAAAAGAAGTATTTGTAAGCACCTCGTCACGTGTCAACACAAAACTGTAAAAACTATTTTAACTTGTGAATCTGTAAAACTGCACTCATCAGCTCTAAACTTAGGGTCACGCAACAAAATGTATACAGTACAATACAGTATTGTGGACTCTGTGCTGGTCCGCTGTAGTGAAGAGAGAGAGCTGCCAGAAGAAGCTCTCTGTTTACCATCAGTTAAAGTTCAGGAGAACCCACAAGACCCAGTACACTCCGGACATCTGGTCTGGGAGTCCTCCCAGAAGAGCTGGAAGAGCTGTCTGTGGAAAGACCTGGACCTACTGAAGCTTTTTCTTTGTTGACATTGATGGTTAAATAACTGACTGACCTGAAGGTGAGTAGCAGTCACTGCTTAGGTCCCAATCTGACAAATGATTGTTCAGTGTATATCTTAGATCCTTATATACCGTTTCTTTTTCATACTTTATATTTTTGCCATTTTTGGGTGTAACTGGGAGCTTGAGTACACAATTTCATTCCACCTCATGTACCACGTGTGATGTGAATGATAAAGAAACTTGAACTTAACAAGAAATTGTTTAAAGTAATGTTTTTAATGTTCATAATTTTTCATCATCTACACGTTCCAGTTAAAGGATGACATGCCCCTCTGATGCCACTAGGGGGCGACATCATCTACATTAACAACATAAAACACAGAGCAAGCCTAAATATGCCAAAACAAGCGCAGCTAATTTATTTTTTACTATCGTCTATAAATTCCTCTCGGGTATAAACCATTTCACTTTGCTATGATTGTAATGAATTGACGCAGATGTAAACAACAAACAGCTCCGTTGTTGTTTTGGTTTCTAGGACACAAAGTGACAGTGGGCGCTGATTTTTAATTCCCAGCAAAGATTTGAAAATGTCTACGCAAGAATTCACTTTGTGTGTGTGCAAACTCCATCCAACCATCCATCCATCCATCCATCCATCCATCCATCCATCCATCCATCCATCCATCCATCCATCCATCCATCCATCCCTTCTGCTCATCATGTCCAGCAGACGTGGAGTTTCCAGCTGATGACCAGTTTCCAGATGTGTTCTGGAAGACTGTGCATGGTTTATGAAGCTGAAACGATCAGATCACCTGCAGAGCCATCAGCGTGTGTGTAGGTGTGTGTCTGATGCACACTGGGCGCTGATATAAACTGGTTTCTGATCGAGCTCCAAATTAAATGCCACCCACGTTCCTCTGGGCCAGAGATTCAGGTTCTGATTGGCTGAGAGATTATAAGAGCCCGACTTCAGCGGCCTTGGGGAGCTGTGTTGGTGCGAGCGTGTTTCTGAGACGAGGGGAAACCGTGTGAGCAGATTAACACGTGTGAAATGAACAGACAGACGCTCACCTGCGTCACTGACCTCTCAGCTTCAGGAATAAAAAAATAATCATCTCTGGTTAATTTAGCAGCAGATATGGAAGGGATCATCAATAACAGACAGATGATTGAAGGATAAAGGGCAACAGCATCCAACAGAGAGTCTACAGACGCTGATTAAAGTCCGATTGATTTGATTCTCTGTTAAATTGAAAATGTGATGTGAAAAAATAAAACTTTTGTAGAGAGGAGCTGCAGGACGGTTTTAAATTCATAGAGAAATGCAGCATGAGCTCCTGCAAATATAGATCCCACATTTAATGTCAGTGGAGGGTCTCAAACCCTCGACATACGGTAGTCTTTTTTGACAAATAAGCAAGAAAGATGGTGCATCTTCACGAGGTGGTCAGCTCAATCGATGATTTACTGGAGAAAACCCGACCCAAAATATAACTCCGACTAAGACTATCAGCATGTAGACAATAACGCTGACACAGCGGTGCTTCAGTGTTTGTGAAGACTTTATCATTTTCTACATTTCTGTGTAAATATGACCTAAAACATCAGATCTTCACACAAGTTCTAAAATTAGATAAAGAGAACCCAGTTAAACAAAGGAGACAAAAATATTAAACTTGGTCAATAGATCTGTGAGTGGTAAAAGTATGTGAACCTCTAGGATTATCAGTTAATTTGAAGGTGAAATTAGAGTCAGGTGTTTTCAATCAATCTGATGATGATCAGGTGTGAGTGGACCTGTTTGATTTAAAGAACTGGATCTATCAGAGTCTGATCTTCACAACATGTTAGTGGAAGTGGGTCATGGAGGAACAAACAAACACCAGATACTAAAAGCAAAGGTTCACATAGTTTTATCGCTCACAAATATTTAATATTGGGTCATTTTCTTCGATAAATAAATGATCAAGTATAATATTTTTGTCTCGTTTGTTTAACTGTGTTCTTTGTATCTACTTTTAGGACTTGTGTGAAAATCATGTTTTAGGTCATATTTATGCAGAAATGTAGAAAATTATAAAGAATTCACAAACATTCAAGCACCACTGTCAGTCCACACACAACCTAAACAACCACTATTGCATTTTGATCAATTCATGACTAGTTTGACGTTTGTAACATTCGTCTTATTTCTGTCGTTCGTTTGAGGCGGAGTCAGAGAAGACGGCTTTAGCAGAGATCTCGTGACCACAAACCACCTCAGCTGGTTTTGTCTGATGTAGAAGCAGCAACTCTGCTTCAGGTTCCTCCCAAATAGCTGAACTCATCACCCTATTACAAACACTCAAGATATTTTTAACTCCTCCACTTAGAACTGTAGAGAATTCACAACCTTCAACTGGTGACACCCCCCCCCCCCCTATTTTGGGACATGCATTATTACATAAATAAAAAGTTAATTTTACTGTGGTAACATGAGCAGCAGAGACGGCGTCTTGTGTTTCCTTCATACCCCACTCATCTTTAAATTAAATAAACATTTGCGTTCTCTTTATGACCACATATTCAATGCACATATATACAGAACCAAGCACACAGCCCTGAGGTGTTACACTAAAGAGTAGAAGTACATGCACAGGTTTGTGTTTCTATATTTATTAGGATGTTGTGCCGACTTACATTGACTTCTGTAGCTCAATTTAACTCTAAAATGATGTTTCAATGTTTCAGAACTGGGCTGTTGGTTCCTAAAAGAACAACCAGTGCTGACCAGGTAATTAAGAATACCAGAAAAGGTCAAACATGATTAAAAACAGGTACAATCATTAGGAGGGTTCATTTATATGTGAAGTAGTACCATGGAGTTGTCACCTGAATTTAAAGCGTCAATTACTATTTGTATTCACTAAAATGTAGAAACACATTTAATTATAATAAATGCCACACAAACAAACAAACAAAACCAAAAAACTTTTGTCATTAGTCAGTTTAAATATTCTCTACATGTTAATGTAGCATTAAGACCTCGCTTCACTTTTATATTTTTTAAAAACAGACTTTCTGCTGTGTTTGGATCGCCTGTGGATTTTTAAAACTCTGTTTTTAGTGTCACCGTGTGGACTCAAAATACCAAGTGTTTTTCAGAAACGGCATCGCTGCGTGTTCTGTGCACGTCCAGCTTCACTTTGTCTCCTGCACATAAAAAAAAAAAACAGTTTATCATGATTCTGTTCTCACTGAACTTTGTGTGCAGGAAATTATTCATGTTTTTATTTTTATTTATCCTTTATTTATACACGTAGTCTCATTGAGTCATGAGAACTCATTTTCGAGAGAGACCTGTTTAGGGAGCAGATGGTGGGGGTTAATGGTCTTGCTCAGGGGCCCAGAGTGGCGCCAATGAGGGTGGGGGCAGGTGTGGGTGCTTCATCTTTTCCACCCACATTTTGATGTTGGTACCCGGAGTTAAATCTGTGACTTTCTGATCCCAGGCCCATCTTCTCTAACTTCTGTGCCACCACTCCCCACTGTGGGTGTCCTCGCCCACACAGCATCAATAACTCAGGTTTTTAAGTTCGAAAAGTCAGTTTATTTAAAAATAATTATTTAAAAAAGATTCTCATGGAATTATTATGTAAAATACATTATTTTAAATAATTTAGCACCCCACAGCTGGAGGAGAAGCTCCCTCCTGCAACGAGTCATATCTCCGCTCTGCAGCGGAGAAGTGGGCGTGGCAGAGAGCACAGATCATGACACACTGTGCCCTTAGAGCATTTAGAGTTTAGAAACATTGTTTAGAATATTGCAAGAGTGTGGGAAGGGTTTAAAACGCCTTCTCTTTATATATACATATGTCTATAAATACTAAAACTACTACTTGTACTACTAGTCCTACTTGGTGGTTTTTCACTTATCGCGGGGCTTCAGGGTACGGATCCCCCGTGATAAATGAGGGACTACTACATTGTATAAACCGTGGTGTTAAAGTGAAAAAAGTTGCGGCTTATAGTCCGGAACTGACGGAACTGGGGGAGAAAAGAGAGCTCCCTGCTTAGACACGGTTCTGTTCTCCTCGGTCTTTAAATACGAGAGAGACATGAAAGGCCGTCTGTGGGTTCACAGGTTGGTGTGAAAATCTAAAAATTCATCTCCCTCCTGAGTGACCACCCAGATTCACCACAAGAATAAATAACTCTCACCCGTCAGCATCTGGAAGCACACACTGCCACATGTGCACACCATCCCATAAATCCAGCTGAGGGTGCAACGCTGACTTCAAGCCAGCTTCAGACGCCGTTCACGGCTGCTGCTCAACTTTACGTCTCTTCTCAAACTGCTTGGTGAATTTTTTTTTTTTCTTTCCTCATAAATACGTAAAGGTCGACAGCGAGTTGTGAGCACTTTAAAACAGCTGATTATGAGTTCAAACAGCTGGATGTATCCAACAACTGTCTCTAAACAAACAAGAAATGATGTTTGTAAACACAAATAAAGGCGGTTTGTCGTCGATGAAGCTGCGGCTCGTGCTGCTGTAGCCAACGCTCCATCGTGACACCTCCTCGGTCTTCACTCCTGACGAGGCCGCTCGACTGTGCGTCCTGCTGGACCCGACTCAAACAAGTCCGTTTAGAAAACGAGCAGGTTCTGGTCAGACCGCCTGGCTGTACAACTGGAAGAGTTTAGGACTTTTAAAGTTAGAGATCAGCTGCGGCTGGTCCATAAAGAAGAACTAAAACAGTTCCTCATAATAACTACCATATTTCTTTTAAAATAATCTAAGTCACGTTTTTTTGCATATTTTGCATGCCCTGCGACTTATACACCGAAGTGACGTATTTATGGATTTTTTCCACTTTATTCGATATATTTGGACTGATGCAACTTATAGGGCGGAAAATACAGTAATGCTAATTATTTTATTACAATAGTACCTCGTTTATCACAGGGGATCCGTAACCTGAAGACCCACGATAAGTGAAAAACTGTGAATTAGGAATATTAGTGCAAGTAGTTATGTATGTATGTATGTGTATATATATATATATATATATATATATAGGCATTTTAAACCCTTCCCACAGTCTTGCAATATTCTAAACAATGTTTCTAAACTCTAAACGCTCTAAAAGAGCACAGCGTGTCATGATTTCAGCTCTCTGCTTCCTCTGCTCTCAGCCATCTGCAAGAGCTCTTGGCCACGCCCACTTCGCTCTGCACAGAGAACAGCTGATCAGCTGCAGCAGGAAGTTTATCTTGCAGTGTGGGCTGCACAGCAGGTGCTAAATAATTTATTTCAAAGAAAAATGTCATGCCGATCGTGCGGCTCATCCATCAATCAGCCAATTGTGTGTCATGTCCACTCTTATTTTGAAAAACTGCGATAGAGCGCGTCCGCGATAAACGAACCACGAAGTAGCGACGGACTACTGTACTTAGCTTGCTGGTTAGCGTTTTGTTCTGGTTGAGTTTTTCCAACTATTTGGACCATTAATTTTTGGTGACTCACTCTTATTTGTATTTATGAGCAGGACCGGTCTCCTCAACAAGATGTCTAAATCACAACTGATATAACTTATATTTAGCAACTTTTTACAACTCTGGTCTTAATATTTATAGAACAGATATTTAGATCTGAAAATTAATTATTTGTCGAGTAAAAAAAATTTAAAAAAAACTGGAATGCCCCTTAATGTTTGGTATAATTTTGCAGTTTGGCCCATCTTGATTTTCCTGGATTAAAATCAGTTTTGCCTCAGTTGTTTTATAAACTGCACCCTCCTAGAGCTCAGCCAATAAAATCCCTCTGTGTGTGTGACATCACATTAACCCTGACACTTGGTTTTACTGAACATTAACTGCGTCCGTCTCCTCCCTCTGGTTACACACAGTCCTTCAGGACAGATGAGCAGTTGCCTTCTACAGATTTTCTTTCACTAGTTTCAGCTGAACGAGGTAAAATGTGGATTTTCCAAGTTAATAACAGCAGATTCTGTTTTTCTCGGCTGATATATGAAGGGACTGACCAGTCTTATGAGGTCTGGCTAACCACAAGTGATAAACTTTAGTTCAAGGCTACGACTTCCTGCTGACCGCAGAGGAACGGAGGGTCAGTGTTTGATTTTTACCTTGTCATATTTGGCGACGATCTCGGCCCGCTCCAGGTCAAGCTTCACTGCAGCATCCTGCTCCGTGTCAGACGCTGCACAGAAAAACAGAGAAGAGGAACCAACATGAACGGTCGTTTCTCAAGCTGCAAAACTAACTTTATGGACGAACGGCAGTAAATGCTCGTGTTGGAACAGTCTGAACACACTGGTTCAAATGGTTCCTGTATACAGCGAGGAAGCAGAGGAGGAAACGACTAACTCTGAACTGACCATGTCACTTTGTTTATTAAGCCCATAAAAACAAGTAAAGTTGAACAATGTTCTGTACATGTGGTCACATAAAAATGGAAGTACAGTAGTCTTTTGTTTAACGCAGAGATTTCCGCTCTCAGTCCCCTCGCGACAAGTGAAAGACCACCAAGTAGGAATAGTAGTACTAGTAAGTAGTAGTTTATTTTATATATAAAGATGTTTTAAACCCTTCCCACACTCTTGCAATATTCTAACAATGTTTCTAAACTCTCAAAAAAAAACACAGCACGACATGATCAGTGCTTTTTAAATTTTTTTTTTATTACATAACGTTATCAACTTTACAAGCAAGTGTCTGCCAGGGGTAAATTTACAAGTACAAAAGTAATAGTATACAAGAATATTATTATATAATGGTAAAAAAATAATTAAAAAAGTCAACAAAGATATAAAATCTATAGTTTTTTTAGGTGAATTCACATCAAGTTTTTCTAGAACTGAGATGGTTTTCACTGCCGTTTGGTTTTCAAGCTCTCTGCCAGCGCTCTTGGCCACGCCCACTTCTTCGATGCAGAGCGGAGATCGTGACACAGCTGCAGGACGAAGCTTCTCCTGCAGCTGTGGGCTGCGTAGTAGTTGCGAAATAATTTTAAATAATTTATTTTAAATAAAAATCCCATGCCAATCATGTGGCTCATCCATCAATCAGCCAATTGTGTCATTTCCACTCTTATTTTGAAAAACCGCGATAGAGCGAGTCCGCAAAAAACAAACAGTGACGTAGCGATGGACTACTGTACAACAATGTTTTGTTTCATCAGGGAAGCAGAAGTCCATCCATCCATCCATCCATCCATCCATACATCCAAACATCCATCCATCCATCCATCCATCTTCCACTTCTTCCTTTTCAGGTTACAGGGAACACCCTGGACAGCTCTCCAGTCCATCACAGGAACACATCAAGACAAACAACCCAACTTTTTTCTGTCAGGTCATCTGGACCTGTCAACTGTCCAGATGACCTGACTGAAAAATGTTGGATTGTATACCTGGATTATTGAGCATAGACTTTGTTGAGACAAACAACCATTCACTCTGTGCACCGAAGCGCTCTTACTGGAGTCTTCTCCACAGTAAAATTTATTTCTTGATGTGCAAAAATGAACAAAAAAAGCATGCACGAGCTCTAAATATGTTTATTATACGAGTATGAGTTTACACTCGGATGCATGTGTAAGTCCAGGCATTCACTTCTTCAACATACCTGCCGTGAGTTTACTAGAATAAAAACCAGACAATCAGAGAGGCCACTAATAAAACGATTCTCTTACATCAACATGTGACTGGATCAGCAGAAGCTGCTGAAGAGCTCGTGAACACTTCAGGTCAATTTCACACACGTAACGTGTCATACTTTAATTTATTTAAATGTACCTCTTTAAGTTGACCTTCAACTGGTTTAATGTGGAGTTACTCTGCTCCATAAGAACCATCCTGATCAGTAACTAACCAAACAAACAAACTCATTAAACTGGTCTGTAGTGGTTCCAGTTTGTGAGAACCCTCAGTGATGACACATCAGATTGTTGTTCTGTCGCCACAGACATGCTCCGTGTTATTCCAGCTCTGAGCTCCTCTCACTTGTTTGTCAGTCTGGATTAGAAATCAGGGTTTCCATCAGTTTACACCTCACTTCCTGGTTCAGCGAGACGCTCCCAGCACAGATTTATAAAGTGGGGTCATGCTGTGTTTGTGTTGAATGTGGTCGGCAGCGTGTTCTAACGGAGGCAACGAATAAATCACAGCAGCGCAGTGAGGAAGGCAGCTGGCAGGGAGCCACCACAAAACAAAACTCCTGAACGTTTGAAAACTTATACGTATCTGTAGAAAACATCATCTTCATACAACCCTGAAGTGTTCACAGAAATTGTTTAGACCACTTTAAACTTTGTGATAGTGACCTTTCTTACGCCTACATTCAGCTACACACCAAACTGGAAGTCGGTACCTCACTTATTCTTCAAGTTATTCTCACAGGACTGACGGACGAACAGTATTTCATGGTGCACTAAGATTCATAACTGTCTGTAACTACCGTACCACCACTGCACCCTGTATTCACTGGTTAACTGGTCATCATTAACTTCACTCAGACTCTCTCGCTGGTGCATTTTCATCTTTAAATCACTTCTTGGTCTGTTACTTTCATACATCTCCTACATGTCACGTCATCAGTGCAGCTACAGCGTGCGCTCTGAAGACATCGTTACCTGCAGCGTCCCCTCAGCGCGGACTGAACTCGGCAAAAGGGCCTACTCCGCTCCTGTGAATTGCATCTTGCAAAAAGACCTGAAGCTCTTGAAGTTTACAGCAGATATCACTGCAGACACCTTCATGTTTATAGTATTTTACCTTGTTTCACATTGTAGCTCGTTTTATTTTATATATCTACTTTTATTTACTTTTCATTTTATTTGCATTTTATGGCTGTTTGTTGTTGTGTACCTTATCTGTGGTTTGGTCTAAAACAGGGCTCTCTTGAGACTAACGTGTATAAATACAGGTTGAATGAAAAACTTCCATTTCCCCTGTTCGCTCTGTGACGGGGGACAGTAAAGTGCGACACAGGTACCTACAGCGTTTAACCATCGTCTTACTAACAGCTCAGATCAGTTAACTGAATTTTTTATTTTTGTTAATATTAAAACACGTATCATCATAAACAGCTTGGACGTTCAAGCTGCTCTCCTTCACACAACTCCCAGCTGTGGTGTACTGGTTGTGAGTTCTTTTCTTCGACTCCCGTCACTCTCAGACTTCCTCTCTGGGTCTCTGGGGTTCAACGGGAGGAAAGACTCGACACGAATTCCCGAAACTCTCAGAACAAACACGCTCCTCGTTGAGCTGGCTGGCATTTTTATGACGGGCTGGAGTGTCAAGGAAAGGCTGCCAAAGCACAAACTGTTTGAGGACAAACAAACAAATACAGTCAAGACTTTGCTTCTGGGAATTTGACCCCAGGAGGCCCAGTGGTTCCCATAGTGAGGGAGAAGAACCCGAGAGCATCGGGCGTTCAGTCTTTCCTCTCTGCTCTTGTAAAGCCTCAGTACTTCAGAGACCGATCTGTATTCCAGGGACCAAGCTGAAGCCATTAGACGAGTTTTCATGCTTCATAGATCACACCGACGTCCATGATGGACACTTGGTTTTTCTAGTCGAGCAGGTTTTATAAAATCTAGTCTTTTAAAGATCTGAAATTGATGAGGCTTTTTAAACATGTGGTTGTGTCGAACATGAAGTTCAGCCCCCCCCCCCCAAACAAAAAGTATTTTCCCACACTGAAGACATGTCTGTGGAAAAGTTATTACAGCAATTCTAATCTACAACTACAGTTTTTACACAATTATTGCACAAGTCTGAGGAATTTTCATTTTACCTGTCAACTTTTGTTACCAGTTTAGAAAAACGGTGTTAAGTCCACAACAGTGGTGTCCAGTCCTGGTGCTGGGGGGCGGGGGAGGGGGGGAGAGACACAGTCCTGCATGTTTTAGCTGTTTTCTACTTTAAAACACCCAACTGGAGTGAAAGTGATTAACAGGCTTCTGAAGAACATAAAGACCTACTGAAGAGCAGGGTAACAACTAGAACCTGGAGGTCAGTGGTCCTCCAGGACCAGGACTGGACTCCGTTGGTCTACAACAAGAACTTTTAATGTCTTGGAGATGGAAGCGGTTTTAAAATGTTGACAAAAGTCTTTAGTCTTAGTCCATGTTAGTTCATCAGTCTGGTAAAAAATCCTAATTGAGGCTGTCCAAGGAACTATCCACAACAGGTAAGATACTAACTGTTCATACCGTTTACACAAAACTCTGCTTCAAAATGGCTGAACGATATGTTTAAGTTAGCATACCAAAATGTTTTATTTATAATTTAAAGATATTATTTTACTGCAGAGATACAAAAAAAAAAAAAAAAAAAATCAAGAAGAAGGAATCAAGTTTTAACAAAAAAAACAAAACAAAAACATTCAATGACCACATTTGCCAGGAACTGTTTGTCAGTCTTCAAAAATACTTCACAGTCGTGACTGGACCAACTAGCAGAACCTGAGCATGAGTTCAGAGAGGACTCCGTCATCATACATTAAAGATTAACGCCCCCACACTGAAATGACCTTTCACCTCCTCCACAACCTGTCTGTCCCCAGCAGAGACAGAGATGTCCTCGTCCTGCTGTGATAAAAATGTCCCGTCACCCTCCCTGCACAGCTGAGCCCCTCCACCACCTCCCCCGCCCCACGAGCTGCCCTTCAAGCCGTGTTCCATCCTCTAGGAGGAGCCAGAGGTTTTGGTGCATCACATCAAACGTGCTTCCTGTTACGGAAGCACGAGCCGCAGCGTAGCTCATTCGTGCATGCGCTAAAAGAAATACTTCCGGGTCACCGTTGAATATTACCGTGTGATCACATGCTAGATTAAGGAAAATGTACTGGAAATAATTACTTGATATTAATAAAATGTATTTATGGAACATACAATATTTATTAATTTTAATTATAATATCTCTTTCTATAAATTGACTAATTTTCCTAGACAATGTTATAAGCCCATTCATGAATAAGAACCGTCTTAATTTACTTAGAAAAGTACGTGCTCCATCTCCGCTGATCTTCATGTTGCTAATATACGCCACTTGTATTTCCGTTAAAATCGTTGACACATTTTTACGTCATGGTTAAAATGATACGCAGCTTCACCACTGAGCGGCGCTGTTTCACCATGGAAATAATTCATTCTGTATATTGCAGGGTTTTCTCATTCGGCCCAGGC